TAACCGCAAGGCAGCGGTGTTTGGCGGGAAATGCAAATGCATTACCATTTCTACGGAACAAGTCGCCACATGTTCCAACCCCCAACTTGGAGGGCCAGGAGACTGTGTTCGTCAGACCTCTAATCATTGACCAACCTGGTATGAGAGACCCTGTGAGTGTTGCGGGACACTCTCCAGTATAGCTCAATGGATCGCTGAGGTGCGCAAGCCGTCACACCACGGTAAGGTCCAGTCTCTTCGTGACGGGATGACAGTCATTGAACTAGTGCTATACAGTCGCTCTCTGTAGTGTGGAGAGTGTGTCATAAAAGCCCATATCGGTACTTTTAACTGTCGTCCATTCTATTTTTTACAGTCCATCCTATGGATGTATCGAGAATGGAGACAGAGTCATGCGAATCGGCAACGTCATCCAGTAACCATGGGCCAGAAGTGTAAGTTTTCTCGCATAACTTGTATTTCTGTCAGTACTGAGTCATCGACTGTTGGAGTGTTGCAGGAAAAGCTTCGCTTAATTGAAGCTGAGAAAGAAGATCTTATGCGACAGCTTCAGCTAACCATGGAAGAACATGCACGTCAAAAAGAAATATTAATCGCACGCTACGTAAATGCGGATTACTTGTTGTCGCAGTGTGAATCCCTTCTAGTGGGTTCCATGTTTCGGTTCACCTAACCTTTACAGCCCGTGAAACGCATGCCCTCCTGCAAACCACATTCGATGAGTATCCAGTCGTGGGACACTCCGCTTGTCTGTCGGCATTTACTCGAACCGGCTAGCAATTTAGTTTACAGTAGGATGTGTTCAGCCATAAAAGATGCGCAGCTCCGAGTCAGGCAAAGCAATGATGATTTGATTGCCTGGAAGTTTGATCCCGAAAGGTAGGTTTTTCAGCTGCAAGTTTCACTTAGTATGCCTTATGATGCCAACTGTAATATATCCTAGGCTTACTGCAAGACACCTCTCGAATCCCTTCTGTGGCCTCACCATTTTGATGTACCCTCCAACGAGAGACCCAGTCTCATTATGTTAGGTAGCTAAGCGCCTGTCATGTACACTCGTCTGCATGAATTCATAGGACGAAGTCAAAGATGGGTACAGTCTTCAAAAACGAAGAATCAATAGAATAAGTGCTGTTTTTGTGCGTGTTGCTCATATTATCAGAAATGCATGTGAAGCAAAGCTGGTATGCGCAAATTCCATGGTGGAATCGCTTTGCAATACGTTATAGCCGAGATTGACCCATGTCTCGGTGACTGCTGGTTATTACGCTGTGATATATTCAATCACCATTCACGGTATAAAACGGTCAGCTAACTTCCTTAGGGACCCGTGGTTCATTAGGCCACTTGCGGACAACCGTGCCTTAAGGTTCCGGCTTCGGCAACGAACCAAAACAGCTCAATGTAAACGTTCGTGAAATGGACTTTGCAATATGACATGTCCTAAGCCAGTACGACAGGCTTAGTTTTCTTTATAATTTACATGGAAGTTTGACATATAATATTGTTTCCGAAAGCCTCCTAAACTTGGCAATGATCCGGTTATTTACTCAAGAGAACGTGAACTCCTGAGGAGCACATGACTGTAGCTGAGTGGGTTTGGTCCCTTTTCATTATCCTTCTTCTAAGTTGGTGGTATCACTTACATGAGAGAGGCAGGAGCAACAGGCGATCCCGACGACCAGATTCAATAGGGTTATAATCAGTTGAGTTGGTATGAAGTAACGCCATCGACGTGCAGTATAAATGGTTTGGCGATGGCATCTGCTGTGAATGCTAACGAGCTCAGTCAGCCCCAGTCATAATGCCTGTTGCGCAGTGCCTGCGGCAGTATACGAAACGGTACCTCTATTTCGTCACAGTTACACTCCGGCGTCCAATGGTTCAAGCGCGTTCGACTGGCCGTCTTGCATGCCAGCCAGTTCGTAGAGTTGAACCTGACATCTGCTTTCCACTTTCCGGTGATCGAAACTGTGGCAGCTGGAACCAATGTGCTCATGGTACACGGTTTATAGATAAACTGGATCTTTACGTAGACGCCTGCTTGGTATTATGGGATTAATGCCTCACATGTTTTGGTCTTTCCACATGGATTCTTTATTGTCGTGAGTTTTCGGCAATGACAAAAATGGTGAGCCAATATTTCAGGCTAAACCACTGTCGACAAGTGCGCTTGTGAACATCCTACAGGGATCAGAGTTTCTATCGTTGTTCACTGCTGTCGCAACTCCAAGGATGTCAAAGAATGGACCTCAGTAGATGTGAATGACGACGACCAAGGTGATAAGATCGCTAGATGGTCGTACCTTACCGAAACCATCATGCGTGTGAATATGCCAGTCGTTTAGGCAATTAGAATTTCTGCTTCTGGACTGCTTAATCCTTTGAGCTCGTTTTGTTTGCATGCTAGTGACTTGAGTCTTGTCACAGCGTATCCCACTTGGATTCTTCCTTAGTGCAAAGCTAAGCGTACTTATGTATGTCGTCGAAGTTAGCTACACTTTTGCATTAGTCTTTTGCAAGTGTGGATATCGTCGCAAGCTGACGGTTTCCGCCTTTCAGAGTGCAAACGTACGCTAAGCTTAAACTAAAATAATGTTTCACCTGTAGCAACCTTTCAGTGTCTAGCTGCCATTCCACCCGAATGAGAGATACCATTGGGTCACCCAAGCCTATACAGGGTCAGTTGAACTACGGACATTGCGGTCAGTAAGTTCGCGCCTTAAACACTGAGCTATCTTGCACAAGAATGGGACTAGTAAGCTCAATTCGCTTTTCGGAGTGAGTGGTTTCCAGTTGACACATTCTCGGTAAGATCCACCTTATTCCAGTTCTATTGTTATGCCCACGAATTTTCGTGTCTTGAGAGTGCCGTTCCATGATTTGACTTATTGGGTCAGAACTGCATATAACGTATTCACTTCACTTCTTTTTACTTAGTCATCTGAGCAAGATATTGAGATGTACCCAGGGTTTGCACGAAGGTCACACGCGAGAGAAAGTGTGGAGTTTAGGTGACCGGTGGAGGTCCCCGCGACTTTACCAAGCAATCCTATTTCGCAATTTCCGATCTCAGTCATTGATGTTTAAGGCACCAATCGTGTCAGTGTCGTGCAATGTTGTTCCTCCCAATGGCAATGACATATTTTGTGAATTTTCTAAATACTCCGCCTTCTAGCCCCAGTGGAAAACGGTTGATGTCTCGCATGCGACATTTGTTAAATGAGAACGAGGCGCTTGGTCGCGCAAATCAGGCAGAGCGCATCGCCGTGCTAGAAAGGGAGGCTGAAGCCCAAACGAATTGCATCAAAGAGTTCAGCAAAACTCATGAAGGTAAGCGTTCTGTGTTCTCTCGACTGCCTCAATTTACCTTCCTCTACTGATAGTGCTATTTGCCTAAACAGTTCAGCACTGTAAAACTGGGGGATTATTTTTTAGAGGTCACATTTTGGGGGAATATACCCAAAAAGAGGAGAAGGCCCAAACAAAGATTAACTTTCCTACTTCGAATTGCGCAGCTTCGGATCTATTCACTCTTAAGATGTTTGGTATTTTTATGGAATGTCTCGACACTTCCTAAGATGATTCGAAAGGGTTTTGAGGTTCGACGGAAATCTAGAAACGGCTTGCTATGAGATTCAGTTGACTCCTAAAGTGTTCGGTCTCTCGCATGAACCTTGGAGATCCGCATATCTCTCGCTCAGAACAGCTTATCTTTATATCAGGCATTCTTCAGATCTCTGTCTGACTATCTAAAAGGTACTGAAACTTCTTACCATGAAAAAGGCCTACATCATTTAGCGACTGTTCCATTTGGTTTCAACATGGTGGCGTAAGTCAGCGAATTTCGACGTGTGCTTCATCTTGGACGCGCAGTATACCACAACCGCACCCACTCCCTGTCACATTTGGTTCGCGCGGAGGGCCACAATGCTCACGTCTCCGCCGTAAATGTTTGGGAGGGATGGGTTCAGCGGACGCTAGAATGAAAGCAGTGGAAGCCCGCGAATGCAATCAAGAGGCTTGTTCAAGCCATGCTTGTTGGAAGAATAAACTTGATTCTCGGGTTAGTGCTGAACAGGTTTAGAAAGCGGACGACCACTCACCAACCTATCAATACGTTTTGGAAAAATTTAATTCACCAGCGAATACAGCTCATCCCTGTCACTTTCATGCGTACGGCTGAAATAGGCTAATGTGAGTGAGAATGCAGGTAGGCATTGAGGCTCAGAAAGGTCTATGAGCAGTCTGAATCCACGTAGATCCGTATTAGTGAGTGATGACTGGTCGATTGACTCCTAAGAGGTTGGCTTGAGTCGTTGCCTTAAGATTGAGCAAGAAATACTCGCAGTTAAAAGATGTCAGTTTCTAACTAAAGAGACACGATAAGACAGAGGATTTGATGAGAGGTTTGAGGGGATATTAGTTCGGCTGTCCAGCCATAAGCCGCTCACAGGTGCGTATATGTCGGGATTGTCAAAGTATTGGGATGCAGAGTCTATGTCTCTTGTTTGAAGTTATTCGATATACCTGTTCATGCGGGTCCAAATAGCATAATCCCAAAGAAGGTTAGTCCTGGCGAACACAGCGCGTCGTCACCTACGACAAAAACATCTCCCGCAACAAAATTAGGAGACAACGCATGATTTTCACCACTACTCCGCCCCTACCTTATTTCAGTTTGAAATATTGACGTGGTGATCAGGATTGAGTGGTGCAGTGCTACTGTGCCCTACACTGACTGTAACTCCTTTCTGAAGGGTACAACCATGATATGGGGCCAAAGCTAGGCAGTCAGACCAAGGGCAGCGAGGCCCCGTACTATGAGTACTCACATTACTGCGCACCCTAGAGATAAAGCCTTACTATCCTTTGCCGTGAGATGGTAAGTGCATTGAGATATTCCTTCCAGGCAACCAGCATTTTCATATTTCTCGAAGCATTGTTGCTGCCCTGCCACAAGGAAGGACGCGTCGACCACAAAGGCTGCATCCTCTGGTGGCCTAAAGGTGAACCGTTAACGGTTGTAAACAAAACGGACCTTGCCATAAACCCCATGCGGCTACAAACTCGTCTGCTATGCGCGACAGCATCTTATTCCATGTGCCCTTGGTTTAGGCTTCTGCAACTGAGCACGTCAGACTCTCGAGTCATCGGCTCCGGGCATTATCCCCATAGTGTTCTTCTCAGTTCAAACTTTTGAGCTGGATGCTTGGGGCAGGGTGTCTGAACAAAACTCTGTATCCTTCCATTGCGTTGTGCGTCAGGCTTCTGAGTAGAGGACTCAGTGGACGTCAACTAAGCCCTCTTTCCCGGTCTGATCAGCCAGAAAGTATGATTTGCCTGCACAGTTCTCTGTCCACCGTTGTCCCTCCCCATTCCCTACTCATCCCACAAACAAGCTCTTCTGGATCATCTGACTTTATCTGACCGATGTGCCTTCTCCAATATACACACTGATTCTGCCAAGTTTACGAGATCCTATGTAGCAGCTTTCAAGGTCCGTACCCCATGTCAAACGGGGAAACAGGCGATGCTTGACCACACCTTGTACTCTCTTAAAGTTTATGTATGCTATGTCACTGGAACATCCATCCAAGGCGCACTTCTGGTCAAGCACCTTAAAGCACCTAGGATGAAGTCAGCTCAGCTCCATATTATACTCTTCGTGCACACAGCGTATACAAGTGGCGATGACTCGTGATATGTATGGAGTGGGAGTTCCACTCAGCCTCAATGCTGAACGTGCTCTTCTGGATTGGATTTCAGTGAACAGTCGTCTTTGTGCCGTTCGACTACCAAACTCAGTCAAGCTCGATTCAACCAACAACAATTTTTCAGCCATGATACCCTTTCGGTGCCTAGCTGCCAGGCCACGTGAAAGATACACGACGGCTTAGGTTCTGTCAGGTTGCCCTAGACTGGAGACGTAGCGGGCCCTCTGGCCAGTAAGTTTACGCCTTGACCACTGAACTCTCTCTAGCTCAAATAGTACTCGGCATGAAGCATGGCGCCTATTTGTAGTCTTGATATGTGTGTTCCTATGAATCGAAGTTTTGCGTGGGGAAAATAATTTTTATTGAGGCTTATTCGCACTCATTTGTCAAGCAAGAAGGACATTGTCAAATCGAAGTTTTGCGTGGGGAAAATAATTTTTATTGAGGCTTATTCGCACTCATTTGTCAAGCAAGAAGCACTGACATTGTCATCCTTGCGGGCGATATGAATGCCCACGTCCGTTGTGTGGGCTCTTTTGAATCATTTGTTAATGTTTGACTTGGAGTGGATACTTGCTGCACAGGTAACGGAAGGGACGTCTAGTTGTATGCTGGCCATCAACTGTCTCTGGCCGGCACGGATTTTCAGCATTAATGCTCGCACCATGTGAGTAAGTTGTCATTATGTGTACAGCAGTCATTGACCTAATTGAATCACGTGGCTATGCGCTACCGGTGGGGAGCCATAGTTCGGGACCGCTGTCCCTTCAAGGGCGCACAACTAAAATCCCATCACGAGCACATCAATAGGACTTGCAACAATCCATAGTTCAGCAGTATTCAACTGAGTTTGCTCAACCCCTCTTTGTAGTACACCAACACTATACGGGCGCGTAAACGAGGAATCGAAAAATGTGAAAGGAGCTACGCTGGTGGCGGCCATTGCTTTCTGTCCGACCTCTCGAATATGGCTGAATGCTCACTTGATACCGTTGATATAGTTAGCCCTGATTGACGCCAGATAATCTATACCGTGGAGGCACTCGTAAGACGTTAGACAAACTCGTCAAACGCCAAATAGTAAAGATTCCACGGAGTGACCGAGAGCTTTCGTGGACAACAAACGCTGAGGAAACGCGAGGGATTTTACCACCGGAATCATCCATGCCCTATATTACTTAATACTATACTGGGGGATTTCCTCGCGACACTCGCAGAGTCTCTCGTACTCGGTAGGTCAGGGGTCTGGCGAACACAGTCTCCTGGTCCTCCAGGTTGGGGGTTGGAACATGTGCGGCGACGTGTTCCGTAAGCATGGTTAATACACCTGCATTTCCATCCAAATACCGCTGCTTTGCGGTGAGGCTTTGTGCCAAATGCTTTGGTTGAGGACCTGTCTAGGTGTGGGCGTCCTGATAGTCTCCCAGACCGCGTACAATCATGAATTGCACGTATACAAATAAACCCATATCACATTGGCCGTCGCGTGATTCCTTCAACCGGGTCGCTTTACTTGATGCATACAGCAGGGCGGGTAAGCGAAACAGAGTACTGCTGGCGCTCCACCCCATTAATAGCTCTATCTTTGTAGGCCCAACACTTAGGACTGATGACTCCCTTCGTCCTGCGATGGTTCTGCAGGCAACATCTTTACGTCACCCGGCGCCGACATTTGCCCCTCGAATTCAATCTTCAAGCCTCGTCGCCCACTTTATTTGGCCGCCTTCAATGTCCGCACTCTGAAGCAAGCAGGACAACAAGCCGCTCTTGCTCCCACACCGGACTAGATCGGCATTAATATGTGCTATCTATCAGAAACAAGAATTCAAGATACAAACACATTGGTTGAGCTAACCGCTTCATCACTCTCCACGCTTCATCACTCTTCCGGGTGCGCACCCCCACCGATCCGGAGGCATCTGTGGCAGGGTCCACAAGAGTTGGTATCGTCCCTAGTGACCAAACGGAAAGATCCTTGCTAGACTGTATATCCGTTAATAGTCGCCCCTGCGTGGTTCTTCTGGCAACGTCTATGAAGGAGTCTCACGGGGGGAAGGTTGATCGATGTCTGTTTGTCGTGTCTGCTTACGTCTTAACTGACTAGCTCTGTCGCCATCAAAGGCAAGTTATACGGCGTCCTGAATGTCCTTTTGCGGCGAGCTAAAAGCCGCCGGAGATATGAATTTACAAGTGGACAAGCTTAGTGCATCTGACACCCAATTAGGTGGTCGACACGTACGGTGGTGAACTATTGCTTCAGCTCACCACCACTTAGCTACCCGTGGTAAGTTGAAAACCTCATTCGTTTCCAAGGCTTTCGGAAATCATGTGAAGAGATTGCCAAAAGCTAGGGCGTTTCATTTCTTGTGCACCATTCTAGGAGCGGTTTTCTGATACGGAAGAAGTCTGTACAGCATTTTAGTTTGGTGTTCTGTTCATTTGGCACATCCTACCTGTGCAAGGTGTCAGCGATGAAGGCAACCTGCAGGACTTGGGACTGGATCCACTATAGCCACAGTCGTTGGATAGTGGGATTGAATTCTTTATAAAATTGAACCATCCTCAGTTGTCCATTATCACATGATAATTTGTCTTTGGTTATTTCCAGGAATCGAGAGTGTACTTGAAGAAGCCTACACTGATTTGGAAGGTCTTCAGACAAGCCTGTTGCAGTTGCATCAGCAAATTAACCAGGCGGAGTCCGTAGTTGAAGCATTGCAGGTAATTCTGATTGTACATAGTTGCGTACACCCATTTTTAATTTACTATCTCGTGTTTTTTCCTGATATCTCATGCGCTTAAGCTTAGTTGAAACCAACCGACCAGTTTCTTCCTAATTGGGCAGGAAAATACAAGTCAGTGAACGGCAGCATGCGTTCTGATCAAGCCTCACGTTCGTGGTACGTGGCGGCAGACATTTTATAAAGCAGCCCCACCTGCATGGTTACAGACAGCAATTGACGAGCGCTTTCCTACGGATATGGAATGCAGTGTCTGTGTCCTACCGCATGAAAATGACGCATTGCTTAATGGACTTAATCTATTAAGTTGAGCCATAATGTCACTTTTCACGTCAGTGATCGCTTAATGTACATAACGGAAAGGATGACGTACGTGGTCGATGACTCTATCGGCCTGCGACCGAACATTGTTTGTCCGTTCGCATGTCTCCCGATTTCAGTGGTGCATAGCAAGGTAAATGACCGAAACAAGCCAATCATTCATGTCGTCTCGAGTAAATAGATGGTCTCAAACTGAATCGCTTACCATTGTTGCCTTTTTAAAAAACCGTTATGTATATTTGGTGATGTTTTCTCAACTGTAGGCTGAACTAGAGATACATGAGCCTGGCCGTGTAGCTGAACTGATGAAGGCAGTATGGGAGAAATTGGATGATTCCAAGGTCGAACATCAAGAGCCAGATCCCAACCAATTTGAAGCAACTGAGGCAAAAACAGTCTGTAAGGAAGAACAAGCTGATGATACATTACAGACTAGCAACTCATCGGTTGCAGAAGCTGTTCCTGTTGGAACGGCGGAATGATTTCACAATCTTAATCTACCGCGTTCTGTAAATAATTCCTTTTATTTTACTTATTTTTACGTATTGGGTGAATGACTATCCACTTGTTATTTACCCTCGGGTTCGCTTGTTTCTGTGACGCAAGCGGGGTCTGTGATGACTTCTTGTTAACGCTGCCTTTCTGCCGGACAACTTATTTCTCCCTTAGTTGGTTGGTCGCACGATGTGAATGCGAATCCTCTCAACATAAATGGACTGAAATCGATAGGATGTGGAAATCCAGACGAGTTGTCTGCCGTGATGACAAACCGATAGCTATAGGAAGGCGCTTTGTCTCTAGGCCAGGACCAGCTCTTTGTCGAGTCCCGAGGTTTCCACTCAGGAAAGTAGCATTTGTTTAGTAACAAAAAAACATCAATAGACTTAAAAGTACGGATAATGTGTTGCTTTGATTTTTCATTATATATGATTGAATAAGGTCACCTCCTTTGCCAAGCACAAGTTGCTGCAATTTGTGTCCCAGGAAGTCTTGTAAGATTACAGCTCATTTCGGTTTATCAGCTATAAAGCGTGCATTAAGAGTACGTTGGTTCCAGTTTCGACAGTTCCGGTCACCGGGAAATAGGTACACGGGGAAGATACAGCCAAGTATTAGAAACAGTGACATAATCAGTCAATTTTTACTGACTGTTTATTAGAAGAGACGGAAAACCGGACAGCTGCTCTCTGAGGGCGATAGTTTTGATACAGGAGCGCCACTGAATATGTGGCTTAGCCATGCTTGCCAGCGATGGTTTAACTCCCAGGCGGCGGTTGTCAGCCTGACTGAATTTATTGGTTAGTTGTCTTACATTTGTTTTCAGGATTTAGAATGTCTACTCAGCATAAGCCTGGGCGAAATGAGCTCCGCGAGGCAGACAGTCCTCTGAAACGAGAAGTACATTCCCTAACCGTCACAACTTTTGACGTATCAGTAGCTCAACCATTACGATAGAGATTCTTCTTAGAAGTCTCTGGCGTGCGCCCGGATTTCCTATCTGATGTTCCCACTAGACTTGGCAAATGACCCGGAGACATCGATGGAGAAACTCTGATAGCTTTCGCACGTCCTATGCGCGTAGAGGCCGCGTTACAGATCCATAAAGTAACATGGATCACTGTCCCAACGTATAGCCTACCGTTGGCAGACAGACTGATATCACATCGGCGCCACAAGTGTGGAGGTTCGCAAAAGCTTCCCTGGCCTTCCCGATTCGAGAAGTAATCTCATCTCCAGCCAGTCCACCGGAACAATCGTCCAGGTGAATAAATTCATCTGCATCGGTTGGTTGGTTTTGGAGAATGAGTTTTGATCCCACCCATGCTTTTAGCAGCACTTTACAAATGTCTGTAGGTGAGCCGTTCTAGGCAACCGAATATCACGTCGATTAGGCTGATGTGTCGCGAGCCGGTTATGGATCAAACGAGGGCATACCCCAATTGATCGGCATATGAGCCAATTAAAATCGTCTTTAAATCCTACTGCAATATTGCGGAAGCCTCTGTGATCAAGTTATAAATAACGTAAGGGTCTTTCAACATCAAAGTTGAATTGGAATCGTTAGAGGAGTATTCATAGCCACGGTTTGATGTGTCAACTTGCAATGATCTTAATTACCAGAGAGCGCAAGGAAGAATGATTATAGAAGTTCATCCAAGCAGGCTGCTATCAGTCCTGGGATTGAGTGCAACTCATACCATTGTTACCACGACCCATCGCATCAGGATCACCGGATACGCAAATAATGAGACAACAGACCTTATCCTCAGCGGTTAGAGGTGCGTGAGCGAAGCGTGGGTCTTGTATGCGTACCCTGGAGACAGGATAAATAAAAAATCATTGAGCTACGGCACTCTGACGGTGCCTGGCCGTCATGTCATCCGAAGGAGCACGAGATCTGGGGTAGTGTCAGGTTGCCGAAACCTAAACGGGAGCAAAGCAGATGCAGAGATTCGGTTCGAGCAATGGACCTTCGGTCACGAAGTATGCGCCTTAATAACTGAGCTGGGAGATAGTTCAGAGATGAAACAATGTTAGGAGACTGGAAGATGGACTAACTGCATTGGACCATTTGGTGGATGAAGATGGTCCATGGTTGAGGAACTGATAGTCGAATTATACTTCCCGGTTGCCCAGGCTGAGGGAGGGGTGTGTTTGATCTGCCCCGTCTTCGTATTAAGAGCATCGGAGTCGCGACCACCGAAGCGATCAGGAAGTCTCGATTTTCTACCAAGAAAAGTCCACTTTTTTAGCAGTCTTTCCGGATACCGTCACGAACTTTCCTTTGGCTGCCTCAACCTCCCGACTTTCCCTGTTTAGACTTAGACAAGCTGGCAGTATCCCAGCCCTCATACTTCCTCTGGACAGTATGGCAGCTAGACACCGAAAGGATGTTACAGCTTAACGATTATTATCTTATTACTTAGCTCACAGTGAGACACTCACGTTCGAGTGTATCGAACTGTCAAGACTGCCGTCTAAATTACACTGGGGTCTTCTGATACCTCGCACCTCTTGGGTGGGCCGGTGTCTGCGCTTTATTCTTCCACCCTTTGTGACATCAGGTGCGAATCGCCTATTTCGCCGACGTTCACATAAGCAAAGCGAGACGGAGTTTTAAATCTGCGCTAGTTTCAGACTTCAGTTTTATTGGTGTGTGCGCCAGTCGTTGCGCAAATGCATAAGTTTGGTACGAACGGAGGTTGGAAAAAATGGGAGAGCAGGTGATACTTGAAATCCCAATGACACAGTCAACCAACTGACCTTCTACATATTCGCGCTCCAAACGCAGAGGACCACTAATTACCCACCGAAAGCCCGAGGTTTAAATATACCTTTATCTACATAAGTGGTACTTGCTGTCTGGTCAATTAGGAACCTCATAAATTATCTTGCGGTGCTTTCGAAAACACCAAACAAGCATACTTAACAGCTGTCTGGAGTGATATAGGCTGAAGATTTCGGAATGTGAAGCGCTGCAAAAACTAACCCACTCACAACTAACACTTAGACCTGTCTTCCATCTAGTCATTTTTAGCTTGGCGGTCAACGGGTCGTTTACGCTGCTTTGGTCGGTCCCAATACATCAACTGACCACAGTTGGTCACGATAGTTTAGTTCGGTTCCTACACTATGATGAACGATAATTACTCAATTTTTCGGTCCCTTCTGGCACATAACGGGGTCGTCGGTGTTCCTGAAGTCTGAAAAGAGAGCCCATGCAAGCAGATAATTATACACAGTGGACACTGTGTACTCCTGACAAAGCATCTTTGGATTACTGAATGGTATAAGAATCAAACAAGTTTTCTTCACCCTGTTTGGCAGTGGTGAGGTCCTATCATTTGTGTGTTGACCTCCGGAAGTTGTGTCCGTCAAGGCTGTATGCTACTGCCAGCGAATGTCCATTAATAAGCGGGGCTGATATATTAGCTGAATGTTCGTCGACACAGTCTAGTTTGACATCCCAGCGGATGATATACGCTGAAGTGGAACGACAGCAACGCTGCAAACATTAGCAATCGTACGCTTGATATTTGACTTTTGGATGGCTCACTCCCGACCACTTTATGTCGCGACTTTATGTTGCTTTTTTCCCGGGGTCCTCACGTGCGGCATAAAGCAAATACGAAGTTTAGCGGGTACTGAAAAGAGCCGATAAGTGCGGGACGGTGAAAGGGCCAGATAGATCATAAGTTCATCCCATCCGCAGTCTAGTGGGACATTTTCAGTGCAACTCGGGGAAGCGCTCATGCACTCGTAGACAGATGGTAGATGGGTCTTCTGATATAGGTCTGGACCAAGCCAAAGGTAATGTTTCATCCCACTCGTATAAAAAACAACAAAGTCAGAGGCAGTCATGTAAGTAGATAAGCCGAATGATAAGTAGAAATCCAAGAAATGTTACACACCGTTTTCTTTAATCTAACGGGAATGTTGGTTGAAGACCAGTGTTTTTTTTACAAGATACAGGTAGAAGGAATAAAGAAGTTCAGCATTTGATAGACAAAGGAAGTATAAATAACATCACCATGAAGTCCCTCAACTGCAGCGTAGAAGCCGTCAGAAGACATTGGTGAGGAATTTAAACCACACTAAAGATAGTATCGTACTTTTCGAGGGACTCAAATATGTCGAGGAATGATCAGTTGTCCCGGTAACAAGTATAACAGCATAGGATGTCATGAATTCGGCCGGAACAATTCGTGAATGACCCTTTCGCACGTCCTATGCGCGTAGAGGCCGCGTTACAGATCCATAAAGTAACATGGATCACTGTCCCAACGTATAGCCTACCGTTGGCAGACAGACTGATATCACATCGGCGCCACAAGTGTGGAGGTTCGCAAAAGCTTCCCTGGCCTTCCCGATTCGAGAAGTAATCTCATCTCCAGCCAGTCCACCGGAACAATCGTCCAGGTGAATAAATTCATCTGCATCGGTTGGTTGGTTTTGGAGAATGAGTTTTGATCCCACCCATGCTTTTAGCAGCACTTTACAAATGTCTGTAGGTGAGCCGTTCTAGGCAACCGAATATCACGTCGATTAGGCTGATGTGTCGCGAGCCGGTTATGGATCAAACGAGGGCATACCCCAATTGATCGGCATATGAGCCAATTAAAATCGTCTTTAAATCCTACTGCAATATTGCGGAAGCCTCTGTGATCAAGTTATAAATAACGTAAGGGTCTTTCAACATCAAAGTTGAATTGGAATCGTTAGAGGAGTATTCATAGCCACGGTTTGATGTGTCAACTTGCAATGATCTTAATTACCAGAGAGCGCAAGGAAGAATGATTATAGAAGTTCATCCAAGCAGGCTGCTATCAGTCCTGGGATTGAGTGCAACTCATACCATTGTTACCACGACCCATCGCATCAGGATCACCGGATACGCAAATAATGAGACAACAGACCTTATCCTCAGCGGTTAGAGGTGCGTGAGCGAAGCGTGGGTCTTGTATGCGTACCCTGGAGACAGGATAAATAAAAAATCATTGAGCTACGGCACTCTGACGGTGCCTGGCCGTCATGTCATCCGAAGGAGCACGAGATCTGGGGTAGTGTCAGGTTGCCGAAACCTAAACGGGAGCAAAGCAGATGCAGAGACTCGGTTCGAGCAATGGACCTTCGGTCACGAAGTATGCGCCTTAATAACTGAGCTGGGAGATAGTTCAGAGATGAAACAATGTTAGGAGACTGGAAGATGGACTAACTGCATTGGACCATTTGGTGGATGAAGATGGTCCATGGTTGAGGAACTGATAGTCGAATTATACTTCCCGGTTGCCCAGGCTGAGGGAGGGGTGTGTTTGATCTGCCCCGTCTTCGTATTAAGAGCATCGGAGTCGCGACCACCGAAGCGATCAGGAAGTCTCGATTTTCTACCAAGAAAAGTCCACTTTTTTAGCAGTCTTTCCGGATACCGTCACGAACTTTCCTTTGGCTGCCTCAACCTCCCGACTTTCCCTGTTTAGACTTAGACAAGCTGGCAGTATCCCAGCCCTCATACTTCCTCTGGACAGTATGGCAGCTAGACACCGAAAGGATGTTACAGCTTAACGATTATTATCTTATTACTTAGCTCACAGTGAGACACTCACGTTCGAGTGTATCGAACTGTCAAGACTGCCGTCTAAATTACACTGGGGTCTTCTGATACCTCGCACCTCTTGGGTGGGCCGGTGTCTGCGCTTTATTCTTCCACCCTTTGTGACATCAGGTGCGAATCGCCTATTTCGCCGACGTTCACATAAGCAAAGCGAGACGGAGTTTTAAATCTGCGCTAGTTTCAGACTTCAGTTTTATTGGTGTGTGCGCCAGTCGTTGCGCAAATGCATAAGTTTGGTACGAACGGAGGTTGGAAAAAATGGGAGAGCAGGTGATACTTGAAATCCCAATGACACAGTCAACCAACTGACCTTCTACATATTCGCGCTCCAAACGCAGAGGACCACTAATTACCCACCGAAAGCCCGAGGTTTAAATATACCTTTATCTACATAAGTGGTACTTGCTGTCTGGTCAATTAGGAACCTCATAAATTATCTTGCGGTGCTTTCGAAAACACCAAACAAGCATACTTAACAGCTGTCTGGAGTGATATAGGCTGAAGATTTCGGAATGTGAAGCGCTGCAAAAACTAACCCACTCACAACTAACACTTAGACCTGTCTTCCATCTAGTCATTTTTAGCTTGGCGGTCAACGGGTCGTTTACGCTGCTTTGGTCGGTCCCAATACATCAACTGACCACAGTTGGTCACGATAGTTTAGTTCGGTTCCTACACTATGATGAACGATAATTACTCAATTTTTCGGTCCCTTCTGGCACATAACGGGGTCGTCGGTGTTCCTGAAGTCTGAAAAGAGAGCCCATGCAAGCAGATAATTATACACAGTGGACACTGTGTACTCCTGACAAAGCATCTTTGGATTACTGAATGGTATAAGAATCAAACAAGTTTTCTTCACCCTGTTTGGCAGTGGTGAGGTCCTATCATTTGTGTGTTGACCTCCGGAAGTTGTGTCCGTCAAGGCTGTATGCTACTGCCAGCGAATGTCCATTAATAAGCGGGGCTGATATATTAGCTGAATGTTCGTCGACACAGTCTAGTTTGACATCCCAGCGGATGATATACGCTGAAGTGGAACGACAGCAACGCTGCAAACATTAGCAATCGTACGCTTGATATTTGACTTTTGGATGGCTCACTCCCGACCACTTTATGTCGCGACTTTATGTTGCTTTTTTCCCGGGGTCCTCACGTGCGGCATAAAGCAAATACGAAGTTTAGCGGGTACTGAAAAGAGCCGATAAGTGCGGGACGGTGAAAGGGCCAGATAGATCATAAGTTCATCCCATCCGCAGTCTAGTGGGACATTTTCAGTGCAACTCGGGGAAGCGCTCATGCACTCGTAGACAGATGGTAGATGGGTCTTCTGATATAGGTCTGGACAAGCCAAAGGTAAATGTTTCATCCCACTCGTATAAAAAACAACAAAGTCAGAGGCAGTCATGTAAGTAGATAAGCCGAATGATAAGTAGAAATCCAAGAAATGTTACACACCGTTTTCTTTAATCTAACGGGAATGTTGGTTGAAGACCAGTGTTTTTTTTTACAAGATACAGGTAGAAGGAATAAAGAAGTTCAGCATTTGATAGACAAAGGAAGTATAAATAACATCACCATGAAGTCCCTCAACTGCAGCGTAGAAGCCGTCAGAAGACATTGGTGAGGAATTTAAACCACACTAAAGATAGTATCGTACTTTTCGAGGGACTCAAATATGTCGAGGAATGATCAGTTGTCCCGGTAACAAGTATAACAGCATAGGATGTCATGAATTCGGCCGGAACAATTCGTGAATGACCAAGGACGCGTATGCCATTCAGCATATGTCTTCTTCTTCCTCTTCCTCCACAGCGTTCTGATTGCCGGAATCAGCATCATATCGATCAGAACCAGGCGAACTGTAGCCATCAGAAGAGACAAATGGCTCGGTGGGCCTTTCGGTTTTCGGCTTGACTGTTTGAACTTTCGGTAATTTGATTTCGTTGACCAATCTGGCATACTAGAAGAAAAACAAAACGACCATCGGAAGGTAATTTTTAAAGCACGCTGTAGAAGCATAGCAATTACACCGCAGCACTGCCTTTCTATTACGACCTAGAAAAGACCACAAAAAGCTGGCCATAGTATGGAATAAAGAACAATCTGATGCTGCTACAGCGAATAATGTAAGAGCACAATGATCTAGTTCGAATGATCGATTTCGTCATTTCCTTCGGGCTGCAACTTTAAGGCACAGAGTGATTGATATTTCCTGTTCAATACAAGCGTTTCGAGGGGACAGTCAAAATGAATAATCATAGAAAGTTCTACAACTCATGTTCATGTGCAAGTCAGTGGCAAAGCGGCCCACGGTGGAATATAGTTTAGGGTTACCGAAGCGCTTATCCTCGATCAGCAGCAGAAACAGTGGAGCCACACTCAGTTCGAAAACTCCTCAAAAGCGGCTCCGGGTAGTCATCAAAATAATTAACCGGTACAGTACCTTCTAGAGTAAACCCTTCATCAACATGGGACAAATATATAGGACAGAATTTCACGAAAAACTGAAATCAACTGAGATCGCGGAAAATTCACTCACATTGCTGAGTAAGGCGAAGCGAAACCAGCTCCCCATTCGCTCCAGTCAAGTAAAGCTAACCACCTATTTCATTTCATCATCTACCATTTAAGAATGCATTTTCGAGACCAATTTATCCAAAAATCTGTCAAATATGTTGAGAACAACGGTTCTTTCTACCGCCTGACGTATCCAGCGACCAAACCTGTGTAAAGCACACTTGAAAGGACATACTGTGGGCTGTCCAGGCACTAACAGCGTCTTTCAATGGTGCCTTCCTAGCCCAACCGCTTGGCACCCAGTCATAGTGATCAAACCATGGATGAAGGGATTTATCCAACGGGCACCTACAAGCCTGGTGTCCGAACGAACGGAAACTTTTTCTGGACGGCGTATAGTCTGTAGGACCTAAACATAAGGATGAGCGGCCTTTCATTGAAACAACCGAAACACGTATCCCGTTTTGCTCCCAATATTTCAAGTGCACATGTTCAGCACGCAATGGAAATGAGAGGAGATAACCACACCCTACTAGTTGTTAATCATGCTCAGTTCTGAATTCATGGAGCAAGTAACAATATAGACTCACGTCTAGGTCGAGTGTCCTGAAGCAAGGTTCTTTGATTGCCTGTGCCGCGGCTGCTCCATCACACTCCTCAAATGCGCCAAGTAGTCGTCGAACGGATAAATTCTCGTCCGCTTCCAAGAATCGCCATCGTCTGAAATGAAAAGATTAACAAAACATGCAGAAGAACGTCAAAAACTGCCAGATGATTCGACGTCATTAAACGTTCACTTTCCAAACTATCTGATCACATCGGGTCCACATAAACGTCAAAGTCTTAGATATGGTACAGGAGCTGGTACGAGCAAATTAATTTTTGCATTTCAAGAGTGCGCAGGTGTTCACTGTTTTGAACACTGTTGACAGGTAAACCGTATCCGATGCCAGCCAATCACTGGTGAGAATTACGAGTACAAAGTGTGTAGGAGGAAAAATCTATTACAAACAAATGCCATTAATCATAAGTTTGAAAACCAGTGCATAACTCCAAGTAATCGTGCAACGTATTGGACGGATTCAAACGGTGTTGCACATTTCTAGTCCCAAAAAGAGCAAGGAAGGTCGTATTTGGAAAGATGGGTAAATCGATTCTTACGGCAGTAATTTGGAACTAAGAATCGAGCATTTGGTCACTGATCAATATATGTACTGATGGCCTATCAAAACCATACTGCGGAAGATATTCACCACGCTTGTATGAGGTTTGTAACCAGGGAAACTGGTGGGTAGGTTCTGAAGTGACGCTATCTGCTGTATAACTGGGGTGATCAGTCACGAGTGGCCGAACGGTTGAGTATTCAACCACTGGCCGGAAGGTTGCGGGTTCGAAAATTCCTTGAGTTTCGTGAGATGCGCACTGCTGATGATTTTCAGTAAGACCAAAACAACTGTACGGTGCTTCTCAGCTGCCCAGCGTACATTCGCTTCACTTGCAGGTCAAAACGTCAGCTGAATGTCACCAAACCTCGAATTGGCGTCGAATTCTGAGGTACTGACAACAAATGCGTATTAGAACGGATCTAAGCAACTATTAGCAAATCGTTTTGTTAGAAGTTATAAGCGAGATTTGGCTTGTGTGTGGTTGTTGCTGCCAGCTGCTGTGTGAAAATGTGTCGTTTATGGATAGAAAACACCCTAAGTTAGAAAGTCACGGAATCTTGTCGCAAAATGTCCAGGTTGCGGGAATATTGCAAAAAAGAAAAGGTAAGGATTAAATACTGGGAGCCTGTGGAGTTTTTGACGAGTGATGTCAGTAGATGAAATAAAATAGCCAGAATCGTTTACACCTGATCAGGAGAAATACGAACCCGAAAAGAGAAGTCTACAGCCGTAACGAAAAAGGTACACATTCATTTGAAGACAAGTTCGGAGAGTTCAGTTGACATCTGTCAATGCATGCAAACCACAAATTTTTTTTTGGTAGATAGACATTAAAGAGAAACGGCGAAGCTAAACATACTGAACTGCTTCTGAGTAAATCTTTCCGGCAGCTACTTCATCGCCTTGATGGAGCTTCATCAGAATGAGGACGAGCACAGCTCGCGCACAGATTTTTGGTACGGCCGTGTTATCAGCCAGTCCACTCAGGGTAGCATACGTAGAACTAGGATTTCCCTTCTCTGTATAGTCGATGTAGAGACGCAGAAGACGTTCTGCTTCTGCAAATCGACGTATGCGGACCCATACGCGAGCGGCGTTATTGCACTGATCGGCGGCAGCATGGTATTTTTCCTCAACCTACGGGAGGAATGGAAAAAAAGGGGAAGTTATAGTTGTCCTACCTGTTCGAACTTTTGTTGATATGTTTCACAGGAAGCGCTCTTTGATTAGCCACGCATATTTGGGTGAAAATGTTACGGAAAGTGCTCGAAAACAGTCGAATAGGCTTCAAACAATTTTCCAACGCCATGAGTACTTTTATTCATGAGACTCAACGGCATATCACTACAGATGCGACAGTTGACCCTCGTAACTTTACGTTTTACAGATTCAGTGTTGTTGGCTACTGTTTCATATTACTTGATTTTGAAAGTCACTCAAAACAAATGTCTATACAACTTCACGGTTCCCAACAAACCGCACTCGTGCGCATTAGCATAGTTCCTGTATTTAGAATACAGCTTCATGTGGACTAGTTGGTGGGTTAAGCCAAATCATGTAAATTCATTTAGTATGATACCTTTCAAGGTGCTTCGTTTGGTTGTTGGAGGCGTCACAGTAGGAGGTCCCAGTTGGGTAACTATCAGCCAAATGGTTACATATTTTAGCAGTCTACGAGATTTGTCACTTTTCAAGATTTTAACGAGCTTGTCCAAGAAATCAGGTTACGCAAATTTGGCGCAAAGAATAGCCAGAATTGATTTTACGTGGGGTGTTGCCTTTGGAAGGAAAATGCTTTGATCAGGTCATGTGGTAAGAGGCCGCGCACCCTCTGTCCCGGTAAATGATAATTATAATGTTAACCGTAACTTCAGCGCACAATAATAGTGGCTACTGTCTGTCGTGAAGTATGCACTGACCATAAATCCCGAACATTTATCGTTTTTAAATATCAACTTGATTTCGCTTAACAAAACAAAGTCCAAAATCGAAAGAATATGGCTTGTGTAACGGCATCTCATACTTACGCAGTTTTGACCATTGAATTGGACTCAAACTGACTGAAGAACCCAATGGACCAGCTCATAAGGCTCGTGAAATGAAATCGTTCAGCTATAGTACCCTTCTGGTATCCAGCTGTCATGCCGCCAGAAGGAAGCAGCAAGGTTGAAATACCGCCAGGTTACCCAACTCTAGACGGGAGCAGTGGGTGTTTAGAGGTTGGGTTCCAACCGCGGAGATTCAATAAGCCTACGCCTTAACCACTGAGTTGTCTCGAGCTGAGATAACGTCCGTACTGTAAACAGTGGCGAGCGTAAGAAAGTTGAATCAGGAACTCGGAGAGATCAAACAAAATTCACGACCACAAATGGGTACGAGTCTCGACTGAATGAGCTAGTATTTCGAGTAGTATGGGCGCCGCATTGTGGTGGGTCGGCGTATCACCGAACATATAACGGACGTGCCAACCAGTTCAAGAATAAGAGCGAAAATCCCTATCCAGGGCCAAATCAAACGGTCTCTGAGTACCGAGAGTGGACTGGACAGGCAACCAAGTGAGGGATGTCGAAAATGGATCCATGGCACAGTCTCAAACAATAATTTGCATAGGTATTAGGTAGCTCAATTAGCTTTAATCGAATGAACTAATGATCCTTGACATTGCTAGATTCCAGTGCCTCGGAACAAAACTCCATGAGTTCATCTCGGTAAAATAAGTACCCATGTAACGTTCGGTGAACGTTTGTTGATTCCTTCACACCTACCGACACTTCATGACTCTCATTCCACATTTCAGACACTACTTGGAGTATAAACTTCACCTGTATTTTCCTTGATATTTGCGTCGGATCTACTCAAAGACCTGTGGTGGTACAATCTTGAATGTACGTTCGTATTGAATCATTGCTATGTATTAGCCATTGACACTTCTATTCAATCAATAACCGTTGTTTATTTGTTGTTATTACAGAACCATACCGAATACAACGACAGTCTTCTCGACTTAACAAAAGACTTCGGGTGCGTATACTCAGATAGTATCTCAGCCGCATATCTTGCATCAATCACCTAGGTTCAAAGTGAAACCTAAAATTATTCAAGATGTCGCAATCTGACGATGGATTACGTCCTCCAGTATTGTCACGTAACGCTTCTCCTACAGAGCGTGACGCAGTGCATTCATCGGATAATCGCCATATGGAGCTGGAGCTCGCACGTCTGCGCATCAGAGAGTTGGAAATTCAACTTGAACTGCAGAAACTTTCTGAAGCGAAAGCCAAAAGGAACAATCAGGACGAATGCGATTCGCACACTCAACTTCAATCAGATCCAGCTGATTCGAAGTCCATAGCCTTTGCCCTGGAAAGGCGACTGGAATTACCGAAGCGCGAATTGCAACGCTTTAGTGGGAACCCGAAGGACTATTGGGCCTTCATGAAAGCGTTCAGTAGTACTATTGAAGACCGTACCCGAGACGACGAGGCTCGCCTGGGTTATTTAATACAATATTGTGACGGTGAAGCAAAAAGAAGGATTGAGCATTGTACGGTCCTACGACCCAACGAAGGTTACGGGCTCGCGAAGGAAATTTTAAGAAAGCGATTCGGCCAGAACTACATGGTGGCCCGAGCGTTTATCGACGATTTGATCACTGGGCCCACTATAAAAGATGGTGATTCGTCCGCCCTATCCGATTTGGCACAACAGCTGACCGTGTGTGAGGTAACATTAAGAGAAATGGATTATTCGTCCGATCTTAATTCCCAACATACGATTCAGACCATTGTACGAAGATTACCTTCTCGACTTCGTTTCAAATGGGCCAAAGCTGTCGCTAACATCAGACGAGAAGATCGTGAGCCAGAAGTTACTGACCTTACTGCCTTTATCGAAGCACGTGTTGATAGCCTGTGTTCGGATTACGGCGAACTTGCTCTCAGTCTAGCGTCCGAGGAACGAGCGAGAAAAAGGCCACCACTATCCGGTCAAATGCACGGTAGAAATATTCATTCTACTCAAACGTTAGCTCCTCGTGCCGGTATCGATCCTCGCTGTGGTGTCTGTGGCGAAGCCCATTATCCTGATCAATGTGCGCGATTCATTGCAGAGTCACCAGAAAAACGTCGCGAAATCGTAATGCGCCGTAAACTGTGCAATTTGTGCCTACGCCCGAATCATGTCGCGAAATTCTGCAGGTCGCGAACAGTCTGCTCTCTCAACGGATGCAACGGTCCTCACCACCATTTGTTACATTTAAATGTTGTTCAGAATGATGAAGAACCAAGCGTATCATCACACCACACTTCTCTACATCACTCCGATCAAGCGTTTCCGCGTGTTTCCTCGCGCGGTGTAGCTCTCGCGGTCATTCCAGTTATCGTCAGAAATGGAGCTCGAACCATCAGTACATGCGCCTTTCTCGACAGTGGCTCAGATTCCTCATTTATCTCTCAAGCCCTTGCGACAAGACTAAATTTGCGCGGTCAGCATACCAAACTCACCTTGAAAACTTTGACTGACGATAAAACTCTTCAGTCAGCAGAAGTGAGGTTTGATTTAGATTGTCCGGGTTCAAAGGAATCAATCTGTGTTCAGCGAGCATGGGTGGTGAAGAACCTTCCTAAAATTAACCGAATTGTTCCGAACCACTACCAGCTAGCAAGATGGGCACATTTAAAGGATGTCCCATTCGATAAATACAACGACACCGAGATCGGTATTTTACTCGGATCCGATGTACCCAAGGCTCATTGGATAGAGGAACAACGGAAAGGCACCCCAGACGAACCATTCGCTATCAAAACGCCACTTGGTTGGACATTGATGGGTCCATTGTATAAATGTGGTACGCAGCATTCCTTTGTAAATCACACAACAATATGTGAATTTGAGAAAAACCTAGAGCGTTTTTACCAGCAAGATATGCTGGATCCTGGACCTACAAAAGACAAGGAAATGTCCGTTTTAGACCGGAGGGCTCTCACTACAATGCAAAACACCGTGATATTCAAAGACGGCCATTATGAAATAGCATTACCATGGTTGACCGATCCTTACTCGTTACCTGATAACAAGTCGGCCGTCTTCCGTCGACTAAGCCAGCTGCGTAGACGACTTTTGCAGTGCGACGAGTTGCGTGAACGCTACTGTGAAGTCATGAGCGAATATTTGAAACAGTCTCACGCGGAACGGGCGCAAGAATCATCTTTGGGTTTCAAATGGTATCTCCCACACCACCCCGTTTTCCATCCAATGAAACCAGGAAAACTTCGTATAGTCTTTGACTGTGCTGCAGCCTTTAGAGGGTTTTCTCTGAATGAAAGTTTGATGTCAGGTCCCGATTTAAATAATTCGCTCATCGGCGTCCTTCTTAGGTTTCGGCGCGAAAGGATCGCAGTGATGGCCGATATACAAGCTATGTTCCACCAGGTTCGGGTTCCAGAAGAAGATCGTAATGCTTTGCGTTTTTTGTGGTGGGATAATGAAAAACTCGAAGGGCCTCCGCTAGAGTATAGAATGTGTGTTCATCTGTTTGGTGCCAAATCCTCCCCAAGTTGCGCAGCATTCGCGCTGAACCGTGCGATTATAGACAAAGGAAAATCTTACGATGTGGACGTTGTGGAAGAAGCCAAACAATGTTTCTATGTAGATGACTGCTTATTCAGCGCCCGAACCATTGATGAAGCTCGTACTTACGCGGGTCAGTTGAAATCGATGCTGGCAGACGGCGGATTCAATCTTTCGAAATGGGTGAGCAACGATTTACGGGTATTGAAATTATTACCAGAATCTGACTGCGCGGTGGACTGTGTCCAGCTTTCATTAAACGAACCATCACTTCATCGTACTCTTGGTTTGAACTGGAACCTAAAGGAAGACTCTTATAGATTTCACGTTCAAACAATGACTTCACTCGCCACCAGAAGGAATATATTGTCTTACGTTTCCTCCTTTTTTGACCCTCTGGGTTATTTGTCTCCTGTCATTTTAACTGCTAAACTCTTACTCCAGCGGTTGTGCAAATTGAAGTTTGAATGGGATCAAATCATAGAGGGCGTCGAGCTGGATTTATGGTTGAAATGGTCACGTTCGATTCAGCTGATTCAAAATGTCGTCATACCTAGGTGCATAAAGGGCCCAGGGTTTTACAGTACCACACAATTTGATTTGCATGTCTTTAGCGACGCATCTGATTCGGGCTATGGTGCAGTCGCTTACTTTCTGTTGACCAAGCAAAATGGAGAAACATGCTGCAGACTCGTTTTGGCAAAAGCCCGCGTAGCTCCCATTAAAACGACTACGATGCCTCGTTTAGAGTTAGTCGCGGCGGTGGTTGCAGCGAAGTTGGCGAAACAGATACAAGTCGACAGTGGAGTTGTCATCTCTTCGACAACCTTATGGACGGACTCATCGTCTCATTAGCGTCCGAAACCAATCAAAGAGATTTCCTACCTTCGTTACCAATCGTTTGGCCGTTATACTGGACTTATCTAGTGTTGAAGAATGGCGATATGTTCCGACAAAATACAATCCTGCTGACGTTGCGTCTCGTGGCGTGTTCGCTTCCGATGCGTCAAAGCTCAAGCGCTGGTTAGATGGGCCTTCATTTCTGACACTCCACCAAGCAACGATCCAACTCAGTTGTCGATCCCGGGGGGAGTGTAACATTCGGTGAACGTTTGTTGATTCCTTCACACCTACCGACACTTCATGACTCTCATTCCACATTTCAGACACTACTTGGAATATAAACTTCACCTGTATTTTCCTTGATATTTGCGTCGGATCTACTCAAAGACCTGTGGTACAATCTTGAATGTACGTTCGTATTGAATCATTGCTATGTATTAGCCATTGACACTTCTATTCAATCAATAACCGTTGTTTATTTGTTGTTATTACAGAACCATACCGAATACAACGACAGTCTTCTCGACTTAACAAAAGACTTCGGGTGCGTATACTCAGATAGTACCTCAGCCGCATATCTTGCATCAATCACCTAGGTTCAAAGTGAAACCTAAAACCCACTATCCCCTTTATAAGTCCAAATAGAAATTCTTTGGCTGTGCCTGATAGGCAGCAGATCAACCAAGTTGCTGTTTTCATAAAACTACGCTTGAGACGGCGTGGTTACGAGAACGGTGCATCCATGTCTCAGCGGATAGCAAGTGATTGCAGGTAGCCTCAATTGGGGTTAACTGTGAACAAAAACCCAGCAGATGTTCAGAAAAACGAATTACCTCACATGAGTCGGCAGCGAGCTCGTAGAACTGAGCAGCACGCTCTGGAAGTGGTTGTTCAAGCGGTCTGTAAGAATGCAGATGAACATATTTTGAATGACTGATGCGAGATATCATGGAATTTTGACTGACCAGCTGCATATGAAACTAACGTCGTACTGAATACGGAAAACAACACTTATTACCGAATGGGTCACATTTTTTCATCAGTATACTCAAGGAGGAACTGGGGAGGGACACAGCCTTTACACTATAAAGTCGCAAGTAAAATGAGTGACAAGATAGCTTTCTACAAGGACACAGACGAATCAAAAAGATTACAAAGCTTACAATTCAGATTCTACTATATTTATTTGTCTGTGTAGATAACTATAAGATGGCGGAAAACTTGATTATCTGTGAGCTAACAAAAAGCAGCAGCAATGTCACGCGGGAATTCTGACAACGAAGAACGGGGAATCAAGGAGGGCTACTCGAGATCTGATATCTACGGTCGACACTCAGGTGGAAAGTAACACGCAGAAAGTACGCTTTTTCGCTAAATCTTGATGTGCATAAAATCGGAAAACATCGCACTGACACTCAGTGATTAAGTTTAATTGAGGGTAAGCCAGTGCGGTACTAACCCCACCGCTAGTTCCGGATGGGGCACGTCGCTTACGCCGGAATTCGACACATGCCACTTCATTTATATAATAGTCTCTCCGCCCTTTGTCGCACAGCCTTTCGACCAGACCCACTATCATACTCCGTCGCCTACCGTCATACGTATACCAACAACCACTGCTGGTTCGTTTAACAATCGTTCAGCTGTGGCACCCTTTCGGTGCCTAACTTTCATGCCACCCGAAGGTTGCAAGAGGGCTGGGATACTGACAGGTTGCCCAAACCTAGACAGGGGAAGTCGAGAGGCGGAGGTCGGGCTCAAACCACGAAACTTCTGGTCAGTAAATTCGCGCTCTAACCACTTGGGCCATCTCGGTTCAGTGATTCGTTTAGATAGAACCACGAGCGACTCATGCAACTAGGAAGGTTGACTCTCTCTCTAGGGCTAGCAACGACTTCAGCTCTGCTCAAGTTCTTTATAAACAGAAAATACACGGAATATCGCTACTCCAAGTCTGACCTACCTCCAGTCGCTCCTAATCAGAACAAACTTATGCGGCTCACTACCACACCATCTCTAACCAACAGCCCACAAAAATTCAGCAGTAAAGAAGAGGCTTCCTTCGCCCTCTCCACTACCACGGGAGATTTCCATTGCAACGGGCGTGTTTCGTGCATGTGCCTCACTCCTCCAACTGTACTACCACCTACTCAAGTACAGCCATCCAAATCCATTGCAGAGGGCAACCGTTTGCCTCCTGCTTATCCCTCATGGTAGCCTGCCTCTGGAACTCTGGCTCACTTTCTTACCAAACACCACACAATCGAGTTTTAGGGCTTTTCAAGTATATTAAAGTTGTATTAGTTCCGACTGTAGTGTGACAGATGAGGTCGATGCAATAATCTTTAAGCTCTGGTTACGTATTGCTAGTTGGAGACACCTATGGCATCAGAGCGGTATATCCCAAAAGCTCAGTGGACGTGTGTATCAGGCCACAGTACGGGTTGTTTTGTTGCATGACTGTGAAACTTAGCCTGTTCGAGTAGCGAAACTGAGACGTCTTTAGGTCATCGGTAACCTGTCTCAGGACCATGGCTCCTGTAGGGCAGTGAGAGCGAGTCGGCAACTAGACAACTAGAAAACGAGTGCCCAGTTGTGCAATGGGTACTTCCACTCATGAAGATGTCCAGCACAAGAAGCTGCGTTAGTTAGGTCACGTAATGCGTATGCCGAAACATTGTTTGTCGCAGAGAGTGCTGTTTTCTGTGCCCAATTCAGAGCGGCGCAAGCAAAGAGGTGGTTAACCTCTGACTTGGCACAAGGAAATGAAATCGACTGTGAGATGTTTGGGTAATGCTGGTACGACTCGCCATCAAGGAAGGGTCCGCGTGTATAATTTGGGACGCTGCAGGCTATGGCTGCTAATCGATACCAATGACTTTCTTGTGGTGAGTTACTATCCAGATTGGCTAAATGGAGTGTATGTACCGCAGAAAAATGTCGTGGGCTAGTACCAAGTCCCTTTTCCATCCAGTTTTATTCTTTTCTTCACAATACGACCTTTAGATAAATTGTGTTCGTACGGCGGCGAAGCACCATTGTTAAGTACTGATGTGCTGTCGATGACGATGATGTCACAAATTCTGGATAGTTCACATGTAAAATAAGTCAATAATTTGACACCGGCAGCGCTATGAAGAAGAGAGACTATTCTCAACGGTAAATTAGCATTTCAGTCAGAGGAGTATAAATTGGTTGTAACTATCGGAATCTGGGGGCACAAATTGATCAGTCAACGAGAAACTGACGTGATCGTACTTACTTTGCAGTCTTTTCATAGAGGTATGACGCACTATCTGGTGCGCCACACTTACGCAGCAACTCGCCCGCCTGTGTTACCAGCTCTGCCATACGATCGAAATCCTTCAGATCGCGGTATAACAAAGAAGCTGTTTCATAATTTTTGGCAGCATGGAAAAACGAACCATGTTTGAGTTGCAATTCGGCTACCTTGGAAGAGAAACTGAAGTGCGAAACTGCGCAACGGATTTACCTTTTCGTATAACTGAGCAGATCGTTCCAGTTGTTTTGCGTTGCGAAAGAGCAGTGCCGCTTTGGTGTAGTATTCTATTGCACTATCATAATCGGGTGTTCGTTTGAAAAGCGAGGTCTTTAAACTGCAATTAAAGAAAGTTACGAAACTGGCTCTGACAGGTATACCTTTTCTCTGCCTTGCCTATCCATTCGTTCGCCTCATCCAGCTTAGCACTCATCCGTCCGATAAAAAGCAGGGCTGAAACAATGCAAGAAATTAAACAGTTTGAATTCCAACAAGTGATTTGTTGTAGTCGTCTTCGGATGCATGATGCGCAAATATTAGAGCACTGGAGACCATCACAGACAGCAAAGACCCAATCATGGCGCAACGGATCATATACCGCTGCGGCCCATTAAAGGTGTTATAGCTAACCGCACACCCTATCTCCCGAACCGTTTTGACGGGAAAAGACTCACTCAACAAGAATATAACTGCCATGTTACGAACAGTTGAGTGTGAAATTACAGGGAGGTCCCGGCATTTGAAGTAAACTTTTGACCTTGAATCAAGACTGTCAGTCGGTTTCAGGTGATTTGTTGACGTTGCCTCCTCGACAGACTTGAGCACTCGAACCCTGTAGGTCATCACTGACTGAGTGTTTAAATGTCCAAGCGGAAGAGGTCGGTTCTGGTCCGAAAGCTAGTCTTGCTAAAACGATTTCTGTGGTGGCGGCAATCAGTAAGCTTCGGACACTCTGAGGTCATTTCCAAGAATATGGTCTTTCTGACAAGGAGATATGATCAATACAGAGTAATGTTAGATTAGTCCACGAAAATGGATTCGGTGAATTTTTTCGCCTTCTTGCAGGTCACAAATGGCCTTGCAGAGGAGGAAACACCAATGTGGTTCGTACCAGATCTGATGAACCTCAATGACAATGACGATCAACCCCAAGCTATCCCAACGGCATTAGCTCACTTGAACTCTTGGCGCGTAAACATCAGAAACCAACCTCATGAGGCTAGAAACACGCCTACCGAACAACAGCAGCGCTTGAAACGCGCAGTACAGCACAGTACAGTACAATACAGTACAGTAGTACAGAGAGTGGTTAATTCTAAATGAAACGTCATCGTTCTTAGACAACAGCTATAAACAGACTTTGATTACTGAACAAATTTGTGAATTTTGAATGGGTAATGACGAATACTTCTCCACAAAGGGTCAGGATATCCATTTCTCTCTGGACATATTCGAAGACACTAATAGTTGAATTCCAGTGTGTCAAAGCTGCACGTGCAGAGGAGTTCGTACGAACGTTCTTCTGCAGTTCAATGGGAGGAACTTTTTAAAATGTCCTTACCCTGCAGTGCCAGTCTTATGATGAGCGTCTTGTTCCGGGAAAACTGGTAAGTCCGAGAGGGTGTGTTTTGATCTTCTCAGCCTTCATCGTAACTCTGATGTCGGGGTACAGCACACGAAATTTAGTGAATGTCTGTATGAGACCTTTGCATCTTCCCAGATGAATGAGTCATCCATAATAATGCAACCCATCTATATGGCCTGGTGTTCTATTCTGTGAGCTTAAAAATTGACAGCAAAAAGGGGCCCAGAGAACTATCCATGGAAACCTCATCTACTTGTTTGTGAAAGGATCCGTCAACCAAAAACTGTGCACATCTCTAACAAACTTGTTAAGTGATTGACGAAAGCCGCCCTGGCCTTACCGATCCTATAAGTAATCTAATCTACATCCAGTCTACCGGAACTTGCAGGATTGTCCGAGTGAACAAATTTAGCTACCACATCGATCGGCTCATTTGCACGGATGAGGTTTGGGTTTGACCTAACCCAGTCTCGTAACAGCACTTTACGCTTTGTGGGTGTGAAGGGCATTCCAAATCGCGTGGCAAAATTATTCAGGTAACTTATATATAGCGAGTTTGAAGGGTGTGAAACAACGAGTGCAATATCGTTCGCATACTCAATGTCTGTGAGGAAAAGTCCCGGGGTTATTTCAACCTCCGTGATTCCAGAGACCCACGGAAAAATGCAAGCTGCACATCAATCACAAAGCTGAAGAGGAAAAGTGAGAGCGAGCGGCTTCTGTTACAATAGTGGAAGTGGTGAACTCGGGCTCGTTATAATCTGTTGTAATTAGCGTAGCATTTTCTGTTTCGTTTTTTAGGTTGTCGAAGGTAAATTCGACGTTGGTAGGTAGAGGGGATGTTTTATTCTTTACCAGTTTGTTGATTTTGTTCGAAAATGAAGATATCCAATAAGCGTAATAGGCGAACACACTGACGACGCGTTGCATTTGCGTGGTAGTACGCGGAGGAGGCAACTGACGTATAGGTTCCATTCGTTCGGGATCTGGCCTTGTGACACCCTTTGAAACCTAATGTCTCATAACCTAGGAGGCGGATGACTTTTGAAACAATGACGGTTTTGTCATCGTTTAGCGTGATCCCATACTTCCTCGTAGCTCCTATAAATGATTGGAGATTGAGGTCGTATTCATCTTGGGTATTACCACAAATATTCACATTGTCTATGTAGGCCTACGTGCTTTTCAGCTTTTTATTCGTAATGATATTGTTATTAGTTCGCTGAAAACACGCAACACCGTTTGCGACAAAACTGAAGCAGGCCACCACGCGCTTCGAGTGCTGTAAAAGGTTTGTCGGATGCAGAGATGAGAACTTGATGGTAAGCAGACAGGAGGTCTAATGTAGTGCAGACCTCGTAGTGCGAAATTTCCTCAGTCATTTCGTCCAAGCGTACCAGACGGTAAGCGTCCAGATATGTGAACCGGTTAATAGTCTGGCTGTGGTCAACAACCATCCGGCGTTTGTAATTGACATTCTTGGTAACCAAAACCTGCATTCTCCAGGGAGGCGCTGATCGTTCATTGATTCCCTCTTGCAATAAGCGGTCAACTTCGGCGCGAATGAATTTTTCATCATCCGGATAATGCCTTTATTTGGTTGCAGCAGGCGTGCAATCTGGAGACAAGTTGGCGAAAGTGATGATGATTCAACGTTTACAGCCGTTAGGTTGCAGACAGTGAACGCATCACGATCCCCACCGAAGGAAATTTCTACCTTGCCATGTAGACCTAGAAAGTCGTGCCCAAGTAAGACGTCGGTTCCGAGGTTTGGCATTACGAAGAGCTTCAGTTCAGTTCAGTGTATGAAGTATCTCTGTATCGGATAGAAACACAAGCGTAACCAGTCGTTCGACAAGCTGGGATGTAGACGCCATTGTGACGACTGAGAAAGTTGGGTAAATTTTCCAACTATGCAGTTTCACGACGTTAGCCCTAATGAAAATACAATAACTCCGTGTATCGACCGGAGCATGGAGAGCGATGCCATTGACTTCAATGGTTGCGATGGCATGTGTCAGGCATGTAGGAGCTGCTGAAACGAATAATGACGATAAAGTAGACTTCGTTGTACAACTTGTGTGGAACTTGGTGGTATTTTTTGAACGACCCGCGGCGGAAGGGACCGCGTTTACCACAAGGATTACCGACAGTTTCTTAAGCGGGGTACTTTAGACAAGTTGAGTATCATAGCCTGTACCATAAGATATTTGAATGGATTTTACAGCAGCCGTGGTCGGATCGATACGCATTCCGGTATTCTGTGAAATGGGTGGAATCGCAGAGCAGGATATGGGCTCGTTACTAACAGATGACTGTTACTGTTTGTGAGGAGAGTGGACCTTACCGTGGTGTGGCGGTTTGTGTACCTCGGCAACCCATTGAGCTATACTGGGGAGTGTCCGCACGATGCTCACAGAGTCTCTCATACCAGGTTGGTCCATGGGTAGAGGTCCGACGAACACAGTCTCCTGGCCCTCCAGGTTGG